AAGAGAATTTTTCGTCGATCGGGACTTTGCTTTGTATTCATTTCTTGATTGGTAGCTCTTCTTTAATTTGGATGATTTGTTCGATCGTCTTTGTCCTAGCTGGTATGGTCGATGAGCAAGCATTATACGGTACGATCGATCGGTATTAACAATGGCATATAAGCTAAGCCAGCCAGGCGACAAAGCCGATGATGGCCTGGCATGACATTGCCATATACGCTTCACTCTCGGGCAGTGGACCAATCATGTACGTATATATATGTATAGAGATCATTGAAATGGATCTATCATCTATATATATATATACCTCAAGTTTCACTTAAATTTGAGAATTGGGGTAGACATACTACTTAAATTTGAATAGGGCGTTGGGTACCACTAAACTCTATTATATGTGCACCACGGCCCGTGCCACTTAAATTTACTGCTAAGTGCATTCCGTTAAAGTTGACAGAATATTCTTGAAATATTCTGTTTTCTTAATTTCATAATTGGTCATTCTACTTTTCTTATTGTAAAAAAATCATTGGACTTATGAAAAACATCATTTTTATTGTTTAGTTAAAATCCTATTTTTAATACTTGATACCAAACCAATTTTTGAATAGAAAATTTAGAATCAATTATCATTATAATTATTGTCAATTATTATTATGTGTTCTAATAATTGAATTATTTCATGAATGTTGTAACTAAACAATGTTGTGGCTTTTATAGTCATATTTTCTTTTCTATTTTTTTTACTAAATGTGGTAGCTTTTATATTTTATTTATTATTTGTTTACTTTCCATCTCTTTTCGTTTTAAACTTTTTCAATTAGTGGAATATGTTTAATTATTTCTGATTTTTTTCCATTTATCCTTTTTTTATTTTGATTTAGTGAATTAGTGGAATATGTTTAATTATTTCTGATTGTGTTCAATTTATCCTTTTTGTTTATTTTGATGTAGTGATGATCGACTAGGTTCTATTTTAACTATTTCTAATGGTGCTTCTAATTGAATTAGGAGGTTTAAATGAATGTTCTAATATTTATTTTAAATATCTATTATATTCTTGTATATTTATGATTCTTCTTGATATTCATTTATTATTTTTCTAATTTATCTATTTTATTGACAATGTTGATTAGTCATTCTAGTAATAATATGTTTAGAAAGTTTTCTAATTATTATATTAGATAAAACTTTTTGAAATATCGTTTTGGATGTTTTTAAAAATTTTGGGTATCAAAAAGTATTTAAAAGTTTGGGTTGGATGTAAAAGTAGACGGATACATATTTTGGCGACATTAATGGTACCCGACACCCTATTCAAACTTAAGTAGTATGTCTACCCCAATTCTAAAATTTAAGTTCCACCCGAGATATTTTACCATATATTGTACAGAGTTCATCGCGTGCAACTTTTTGGCAGTCACTGATTTTCCTTTTCCATCCTTTGTAAATATTTTAACTAATTAATAATATTATATCACACATTTTTAAAACGATATCTTTTTTTTTTATATTCAGATTGGATGGAAAACAGATTGAATATTTCTCAAAATTCATATCCAACCCAACTCATTTCATGAATGAGTAAAGTCCGCACACAACCTAAAACAATTAACACTAAATATTCCATGCTTTGAGTGAATTGATTGGATTTACTTGACATCATGGTTGTCAAGCCGACCGGCATGCCACTGGTTGAATTTGGTTCATTCGGTGTAGGTTGTGGAATCGGTGTGAACATCACCGGTATGATCGATTTATGATCTATAAGGAAAAAACACCATTTTAGTGAATTTAGTTAAGAACACATTTATTTATTATTTATTTTATGAGTTAAAAAGTTAAATTTTGATGTTATTTGTCGGATTATGTATATACATTTAGGTGTTGACGTTAAATATTGTATTTAAATATGAGCAATTGTAGTTTTATTAGGAATGTCTCATTTATTTAAATATATTTTATATATGATTAAATTCATTTATTGTTAAGTGATTTTCACATTTCTACATATATTGTTTAACCAACACATACCGATTATACCACTAATCAAATCATTTCAGTTGCTAAACCCACCCAATTAAATCGGTTCGACAATTGCCATCCCTTTGTGGCTTTGTAGCGTGCTAACTATCCCCGCCCCCCGGTAGGGCACAAGCTGGAATTTGAAGACACCCCTATAACTGTAAATATGAGAACGTCAAAAGCATCATTTTCAACTTCTCACTCAGAAATAGAGAAGAAAAAGGCCAAATCAGAACGTAAAAAAGAGGGTAAATGCCAAATTTGGTTACTGGGTTTACTTAAATGTGTCATGTTTAGTAATTTGGTCATTCAAATTACTAAAACAGTCCTTGTTTAGTCACTCTCCGTTAGTTTCTGTTAATGGGGTTGGTTGTTTATTGATCCGGCTAACAGAATTGCCAAATCAACCTATTTTAACCAAAAAAAAAAAAAAAAATCATACATCACCCACCCCAACCTAACCCGTGACCCGACCCATCCTCTTGTTCCTTTGTTTGATCCGATCCGATCCTTCCTCTTCTTGCTCACCGAGCCGAAATCTGTTCCCTTATTCTCCATCTCTACCGTTGCATCCCCCACCTTCTCCCCCTTCCGTTTCATATTGCCGCGCAAACCCGTGCGAACCCACCAGGCAATTCCCGACGGAGTTTGACGAGATTGTCGCGGGGACTGTGTGGGAAGACGGAAAACAAGAAAGCGAAAACCCGCTTCTGTTTGGGAGCTGCCGTAAGCGAAACCCCCTTTTCGTTTCTTCCTCCTCCTTCTCTGTTCCTAACCCAAAATGAAAGGGGAAGTTGGACTCCCCGCCCCTGCGCCGCCTCCCTCGCTACGCCGCCACCTCCCTCGCCCCAGCACAAATCCTTTCCTCCACAAATCCGAACTAAATCAATAACACAGGAACTAACAACGCTTCAAGGAGCAAAGAGAACTCAAATTCATTTCGATAAACAATGCAATCAATTGATCTCAACTCCCATTATAAAAAAATAATCAATTGATCTCAACTCGTTTGGAGCGATACAAGGGCAAAAGAAATTCGGTGAAGCAGCTTTCTGGTCAGCCAAATGGAAATAGGGAAAAGGAAATAGAAATAGGGAGATCTCTCTCTCCCTCCACTATCTTTCGTACTCGCTATTAGTCGCTCGGCCTCTCCCGTGGCTCAATTTCGATTTGGAATAACTTCATGTGCTCTGCCGAGTCTTTGACTTGAGCTGCTGAGGCGATGCTCCGAGTTTAGGCGAGGAATGACGTGTGGAAGGTATCGAAGGTTGGGATTAGGGTTGTCAGTAGGTCGGTTTTGGTTTAATCGAAAACCAATTTCTCGATTATCGGTTAAACTGAGACATTGACTGCAGCTTCCGACCGCCCTAGAACTTCGGTTAGCCGCAGACCGACCAATCGGTTTTTGGTTACGGCTCGGTTTAACCGGGACAACTGGAAATTGGAGGCTGGTTTGGATGTAACCGCCTAACCGACATCATTCTTCCCCATCAATCATTCAAAATCATCGTTAATCCACCAAAATCATCATGCATAATCAATCAAAACTCTAAATCATCATTATAATAAACTTACATAATTGATTTTCCAATGGAAAGGAAAATGGCGGATGACAACTCGACGGGAGATGCTGCTGGCCTGGCGCCGGCGGGGGAGGGAGGAGGCGCGCAATTGGAGGCGGTGGGGTGGGTGGTGGAGGGGTGACGATTGAAAAGGAAGCCGGCAGCGAGGATGGCTGGTGAGGGTCGCCAAGATCGCGATTCGCGACCCGACGAGAGAGATGGAGGAGCGGTCGCAGCCCGCGATGGAAAGGGAGGAGCGGTCGCTGCACGCAGGACCGCAGCGGCGATAAGGAGGAAAGGGTGACTGCGGGCGGCGCCGAGCGAGAAGGTAGGGGTTTGGGGAGGGAGGACGTAGAAGCAGGTTAGGCGGCCGTTAGGGTTTTGCCTGTTGGGGGTCGTTTTGGGCGGGATGGTGCAGGGTCGTTTTGGGCAGAGTGTGGGTCGTTTTGGAGTAAAGAAGAGGTCGGTTAGTCGGTTAACCACCGGTTACCAACCACGGTTAATCAGCTAGCCGAGCCTCTTCCCCTCTCCTCCGACAACCAACTGCCAGCGTTTGAGGACGGTTTTAGGTTAGCCAAAAACCGGTCGGTTCGGTCGAAACCGTCTGGTTAACTGCTAACAGAAAACCATTCTGCCACCCCTAGTTTAGATGTAGCGATCCCGACTTCTCCGTCGCAGGAAAGGGATCTAGAAATTTCGACCTAGAACTCGACTACTCAGTCCGAGGGGAAAGATTCACCATCACCACCGGAGTTGAAAATAGTAGCGTTATATCCTGCTTGTCTCTCGAGGAAATGGAACGATGTCCACCGGCGCCGCGAGGATTGTGGTGAGACCAATTGAGGATGACGAGACGAGATGACTGGAGATTGGGTGGAGGGTGGGAAGATAGGTGACGGCGGAGATGAGTTGGTCGATGAAGTGAAGGAAATGGGAGAGGGCGTCGGAGTTTCGGGGATTTAGTGATAGGGGAAAAGATTTTGATAGGTTGAAAAATGGATTCCCGTTCGGTGAAGAAGAAGAGGAAGGGTCGGCCGGATCAAATAGAGGAACAAGAGGATGGGTCGGGTCACGAGTTGGGGTAGGGTGGCTTGATGACGTGGCGTGTGAGGTATGATTTTTTTTTAAATAGGCTGATTTGACAATTTTGTTAGCCACATCAACAAAAAAACTAACACCGTTAACGGAGATTAACGGAGAGTAACTAAACGTGAACTGTTTCAGTAATTTAAATGGCCAAAATTGATATTAATCGTTTTCAGTAACTAAACATGCACTTTTTAACAAATTTAATGACCAAACTTAGCATTTACTCTAAAGAATTAAAATTCCAGGAAGAAGGAACTAAGCGAACGACAAGCCACGTCTGTTTGTTTTTAAAGCAGCCTTCCTTTCCTTCTCTGCACGACTGCACGACTGCACCTTCTTCATCTCTCCCCTTTCCTTCTTCTCCTCTTCTCTCCCAAGTCCCACCTGGAAATTTGGCCTCATAAGCACACACGGCGAGAGGAGAGAGACTGAGAGAGGGAGAGAGAAAGATAGGAAAAAAAACGGGGAGGGGAAAAAGAGAAATAGAGCAGAGAAGTTTGTGCTGTTGAGATCAACAATTGAATGGTGTGATATAATTTAAGAGAGGGGGAGATCATAGAAGAGAAATTCAGCCGTCATTCCTCTGTTTTCTCACACGCTCTCTGTGGCGCACTCGCAAATCAGAAGCCCTCTGGCCTCCGGAAGAATCAGTCTTTCCTTCATTCCCAACATAAAAGAAGACAAAATAATTAAAATATTTTCTGGATCTCTCCACGTTTCGCTCTTCGTTCGCCGCCATGATCTCCCTCAGCCGAAGCTGTTTTCTGGTATACTATTCGTCTTCCCCTTCTTCTCTTAAGCCTCTTTCTCCCATTTCCCTCAATTTCCTCTTTGCTCGAATCTAGAATGAGCTTTGTTTTCCACGCCTACGTACCCGAAACCTTTGATTGTTCTCTTGGCTCCTCTGCTAGTTTTGATTTCCTGATTTTCGTTTCTGGGTACGTCTTGCTTATCGATGGCATTTCATTTGGGGGTTTTTTGTGTTTCAATTTCTCTTGTTTGATTTGCAGCAAAACCGGGTAAAGTTTTTATTTTTATTTCGCCCCTTCCATTATGAGAAGAACACAATTGTGCTTTTATTGCGCCTCCAATGCTTCGTCGCGCAATTCGAATCCAACTATGTTTTCTTCGTTCCCTTGAAAATCTAGTTCTGCGATCGTGTGTTTAATCTCCCCTGATCTTCTGATGACGAAATGACGATTTGGACGTTGCTTTCTGATGCAGAATAAGGCGAGCATCGCAGGCTTGTCCAGCCCCTTGTCAGATAGGCAGAGAGGAATTGTCCGTAGAGCTCCTTGCTCGTTGAAAATCAAGGCCGCGGCGGCGGCGGCTTCCAACCGTGATCGAAACGGCACCGTATTGTCAGTCGAGACGGTGGCAAAAGAGACGGCGGAAGCAGAATCTTTGGTCGAGGAATCTCAGCCCACCGTCGTTGGTGGAATTCGGGATGCGTACGGTGAGGATACGGCCACGGAGGACCAGCCTGTGACCCCTTGGTCCCTCTCAGTTGCTAGGTATAATATAACTAAGGTTTGCTTTTTCGATCACTTCTATGAAATGCAGTTTTGGCACGTTGCTTGCTGACATCATTTTGGGTTCATTGGTATAATCGAAGGAGGTTTCTTTGTCAAAGTTTGGTTTCTATGATGTTTGTTGGCGTGGTTGGTTAGCTGGAGTTGCTCCAAATGCAGGTCGATTAGCGATATGTTAGGGATAGGTTAGTTATTGTGTGAGCTATATCAAATTGCTAATTACTGAGGCACACGGGATAGATTGATCGAAACATCATCAGGTTTCCGTTTCCTGATGTAAAACATGTTGTTGATGGTACCTTCTTTTGGTTCTTCGATTAGCTACAGTGGGCGGGTGATTATGTTAGCCTTCCTCTGTTGTTTCTGGCTTTGAACTTTGTGTCTCCTTTCCATCACTGAAATGAATGGAAATGGATTTTTCATGATGCGTCCTTAATAACTGCAGCGGCTACTCATTGTTGAGAGATCCTCGTCACAACAAAGGTCTTGCCTTCACTGACAAAGAGCGAGATGCCCACTACCTGCTTGGTCTTCTCCCGCCGTCAGTTCCTTCTCAGGAACTCCAGGTCGTTGACCATATTTTTCTGTCTTTCTACTTAATATTACCTATGTTCTTATATTGGTTGTTGGCTAATATCTTCAAGTCTCTTACAGGTAAAGAAATTGATGCACATTATTCGGCAGTATCAAGTGCCACTACAGAAGTACATGTATATGATGGATCTCCAGGAAAGAAATGAGCGCCTGTTCTACAAGCTTCTCATTGACCATGTCGAGGAGATGCTCCCAATTGTCTACACGCCGACTGTGGGAGAAGCTTGTCAGAAATATGGTAGCATCTTTAGCCGTCCTCAGGGTCTTTACATCAGCTTGAAAGAGAAGTAAGATAACTTTTATTCCGTCAGCAATAGCTACTACCAGTATCAAGTTAGATTTTCTTTTTTGATTATGTCATGTCATCCATATGAAGGTGATAGATATCTTCTCCTTTTTGCAGGGGTAGGATCCTCGAGGTTCTAAGGAACTGGCCTGAGAAGAATATTCAAGTTATTGTTGTCACTGATGGTCAACGGATTTTAGGGCTGGGGGACCTTGGATGCCAGGTTGGTTAGCTCTCTGTCTTTAGTGCATTAGGGTGGCCTCTAATCGCGCCTTGGCTCTCATGAACACTCATCACTCATGTAGACATTCACTTGACCAATTCACTTAATGTCACAGGGAATGGGAATACCAGTTGGTAAGCTCTCACTATATACCGCTCTAGGTGGAGTTCGTCCTTCAGCTGTAAGCAACATGGAAAGTAAAATTTTAATTTTTTGATATCCTCTTACTTAGTATTCATAGAAAAGGCTATATGGCTTCTTTTTTTAGTGCTTGCCGATCACTATTGACGTGGGTACGAACAATGAGAAATTGTTGGATGATGAGTTCTACATAGGGCTCAGGCAAAGACGGGCAACTGGACAGGTATACAAAGTGTTTGTCTGCTGCCTCGCATTTTTTGTCTGCATGCATTTGGTTTCCATTCTAAATATGTGATTCTGAATGCAACGTTTTCCTATTTTGACTCCCTAGGAATATGCTGAATTGCTACATGAATTCATGACGGCAGTGAAGCAGAACTATGGTGAGAGAGTCCTCGTTCAGGTACTGGAAACTGGAAAAAAAGATAATGTCAAGCTAGTTACTGCATTCTATATTCGTTCTTGACAGTCCAAACATACATTTCTACGCTATTTGCAGTTTGAAGACTTTGCCAATCACAATGCATTTGATCTTCTGGCAAAATATGGTACAACACATCTTGTATTCAATGATGACATTCAGGTATTTGTTCTTTTCCCTTACTGTGTTCTAAAAACTTAAGATAGATGATTTAATGCCTTTTGTTCTCGATAATTCAGGGCACAGCATCTGTGGTCCTTTCTGGGCTCATGGCAGCATTGAAATTGCTTGGTGGAACTTTAGCTGATCACAGATTCCTATTCCTTGGGGCTGGAGAGGTGAGTTGAAGTCAGATTGTTGTCTGTTGACATTTTCATGGTGTTGAGTGAAGATGGCATTTTTCAATTTGGTGGTTAGCAAGGAAATGGAAACAACTATAAATTCTTTTGTTTGAATCATGATGGCAGGCTGGAACTGGAATTGCAGAACTGATTGCCCTTGAGATATCCAAACAGGTTCAGTACCCTGGTTATTGTTATTGCTGTAAATAACAAATGTATAAGAGAAAGTTTTAACAAAGGAATTCATGTTTTTCTTTTTTGCAGACACAAATGCCACTAGACGAGGCTCGTAAGAATATTTGGCTTGTGGACTCAAAGGTTGAAAGAAAACCATGTACCTGTTTCCCGTTTTCGAAGTTATGTCATTTCGATTATTTGAGTGTCTTTCTTGGTGACTGTTATGCAGGGTTTGATTGTAGAATCCCGCAGGGAGTCACTGCAGCACTTCAAGAAACCATGGGCTCATGACCACGAGCCTATCGAAACACTTCTTGAAGCTGTTAACGTGAGATTGTATCTCCATCTATTTTGTGCCCACTTAAATCACCTGCAGGATGCCAAGATTGCTTTGTGCCTTTAACTTTCTTTTTGGTATTCGACAGGATATTAAGCCAACGGTATTGATTGGAACGTCCGGAGTAGGTAGAACGTTCACTCAAGAAGTGGTTGAGGCCATGGCCACCTATAACGAGGTAGGAATAACTTTCAGGTTTTTTGGTTGGTGTATTTGAGAAAGTGTTATTGCAAATAGACACTAGTCGGACGAATATATAGTTTTCTATCGACACTTTTGAAGCTCTGCATTTGAAATTACACCTGCAACCTCAAAAAATCAAAATGATGAATACTAACTCATTATTTTTGTTTGCTTCATGCAGAAACCTCTGATTCTTGCACTCTCCAATCCCACCTCACAGTCCGAGTGCACAGCTGAACAAGCATATACATGGACAAAGGTAACGTAGGACATGAAAGAGCTGCTTTTTGAGGTTTTGGCTAACGTGCCTTTCACAAGTCTCTCTTTCCATTAATGTAGGGCCGCGCGATATATGCTAGTGGCAGTCCATTTCCCCCAGTTGAATATGAGGGCCTAACATATGTCCCCGGGCAGGCAAGGAAGTGAAATTGAATGACGTTGTCAAATTTCCCCCCTCTTTTCTGCGTTTTACTTTAATGACTGACTTGAGTCACATCTTCTCGGGTTCTTGACAGGCAAACAATGCATACATTTTCCCTGGATTGGGTCTAGGCTTGATCATGTCTGGTACAATCCGCGTTCATGATGATATGCTTCTTGCAGCATGTAAGTGGACGAGGAAGCTTTGGTTTCTTAATCAGTTTTAGAGTGCTTGGTTCTCAATCAGTTTGCATTTATCTGGTCCAGCGGAAGCTTTGGCTGCTCAGGTTACTCAAGAAAACCTGGATAACGGACTGATATACCCACCCTTCACAAACATTAGGAAGATCTCGGCTCAAATTGCTGCCAAGGTGGCTGCCAAGGCTTATGAACTTGGTAAGTACAAATTTCAACTCCCATCATTTGACAAAGGAAATTAGGAATCTCCTTTGCATTGTAGTTGATTCGTTTCTCGTCTTGACAATTAAGGTTTGGCAACGCGACTTCCACGACCGAAGGATCTGGTGGCGTATGCTGAGAGCTGTATGTACAGCCCATCTTACAGAAACTACCGGTGAAAGGATGAGTTCTCAACAGAAGAAGCAGTAGCGAGGGCAGTCTAGTTGGATCTCTATTTTTTGTTATGTCTCTCATTCAAGTTGGTTAACTTAGTGATTAAAAAAAGGTTTACTTTTGATCATAAAGGGGAAATGTCAGATGGTGGGTTTTGCCCTTTTTTTCTTGTTCGTTTTTGGTTAATTTTATTGTTGCTTTGATCATAACATCTGCAGATTTGGTTGGGTAGGAAGGAAGAGAGAACAAGGGAAGACCTTTAAGATAGGTGGTAGTAGTTGGTCAATTTAGCCTTCACCAAGTTTGTTCTTTTGATTTGTGAGACTTCATAGTGCATAGGAACATAATTTTTTTATAGAAAAAGAGTGGTTGGGTGAGCTTATTAATACATCAAATTTGAAATTCAAAATTTTCTTTTTATTCTAACTCCTTTCGACTCATGATTGGTCAATACGTCATCCCTTGACCAAAGAGTGATGTGTATTGTTCCACAAGTGCGTTGTGAAACACGCATCCGATGAATGTCTTGACGCAATATGTGTCGGATCAAGTATGATGAGGATGAGTTTTTGTAGATTTGAACACTCTAATCAGACATTTTTTTTACCCAAGTTGGGTGGCAAATCCTTAAAGAATCCCAATCCCTCTTGGCCCAGTTCTATAAAGAAAAATATTTATCAATTGGGTCCTTTCTCACGACAGCAGTGTGGTCATGTCCTTCATGGGGCTGGCAGAGTATAGTCTATGAGTGCCGCCACTTGCTTCAGTAGGGATTGTGCTGACAGATTGGTAACGATCGGACTGCATCCATTCAAAATTCCAGCTGGGTCCCGAGGGTGCATCCTCCCACCTGCCACCCTCATGTGATTCCCGAAGGAAGTGAACCAAAAGTTGCAGATTTGATATGGCCAGGGGAAGGAAGATGGAATGTGGAAATACTTAATCACTTGTTTCCGCCAGAGGTAGCACGTGCTATCAGAGCATTCTCACTGCCACGTTAGGATGTCGAGGATTCTCTAATATGGCATGATTCCAATGTTGAAATTTTCGCAGTTAAATCTGTCTATCACTTAGCGGTCCAGCTTAGTTGTGGGCAAGGTAGATGGTAGCAGACTGTCAGTTGGATGGATCGATCAAGCTGGATTCGGATTTGGGGGCTCCCTATCCCTTCGAAGCATAAGGTCTTTCTTTTGCAAATTTTCAATCACATTTTAGCAACCATGGAAGTATTGATTGAGAAGGAGGTCCAAGGTTTACCTCGATGTCCGATTTGCTGGGCTGATGTGGAGACTATGAAGCATCTTTTGCTGGAGTGCCCGGTGGCAAGGGAAATATGGGATCATGCTGGCCTAAAATCTGTAGGCGAAGGGTTCCATCGCCAAAACTTTCCCCTCTTTCATAAGAAGTTGATGTTACTGCTCAATCAACCCCATAAGAGCATGGTTATTGTTGCGGCACTATGACAGATTTGGAAATCTATGAATTGAGTTGTCTTTGAAGGGAAACGATTTTGTGTTATATCTTTGATGTGACAGTATCATCAACTAGTCCAGTAATGGATGGCTTGACCAGCGGACATAGAGACTTCATTCCCCAATCCATCGGTTGCAAATGCGAATGCTTCAACCCCAGTCTTGGCCACTTGCATGTGGGACGGTGCCACAAGGAAGGGCTCTCACTCGGCCGGGGGAATAATTATCAAGGATCATAGTGGTTCGATTGTCTTGGCTCGGGGAATTCATATTGCGGATATTGATGACCCGCTTACACTAAAACTTTTAGTGCTCCGTGAGGCCATCCAATGGTGTATGAATTGTGGTCTCTCGCAAGTTCTATTTGAAAGAGACACAAAAGTGGTCATTGTTAAGATAAATTTGTCTGGTTCACAAGATAATCATTTTGGAACCATTATTGGCGAAGTTCATGTTTTGCTGGAAAATTTGCATGGTTCTACTTTTGTTTTTATATTTTGAGATTCAAAACATTAAATTTTCAGTAAAACTTGTAATGAAAATACCCTTAATTAATTTTTTATTTGTATCCAATAACATCAAATCTTGATATGTATACACTTTTTCAATGTTAATGTGATAGGTGGACTTACTTATTCACCCACACCACGTGATATAATCGTTCAACATATTTGAGGTGGCGTTTTCAGTGCACTCACTTTTTTGGGTGCATTCAGTGCACTCGCTTCATAATCGTCATTTTAAACATGCTATTTATTTCAAAATGATGTCAATCATCACTTATGATGTGATGACCAATAACGCACATGAATTTGCACAAAAACCATTAAAGATTTACTTTAATTTGAAAGATTTAGAGTGTAGAGATTTAGAGTGTAGAGATTTAGGGTTAGGGTTATGGTTTACAATTTGGGGTTTAGGGATAGAACTCAAAATTGGAGGTTTAGAGCTTAGGGTAATCCGCTAATTGGTTGTTATCATATGTTATATCATCATATTACACTAATTCTACAAATTAGATTTCAAAATTCGACACCTTAAGACTAGTTTTTGAGTTGGGTGCATTGAACGCACTCATTTTTGTGAGTGCACCGAAGTAGTCACCCATATATATATATTCATGGTTAAATAAAAAAATTCATTAAGATTGGGTGATCCCAAGAACTCTTGAGCACCTCTCAACTGTTTACAACAATCAAAGACAGAAAAAAACCAATCTCTATCTCGTATAAACTATCTATCACTCATTCTGTCTATAAGAATTTTCTGCAAATCTGGGAAGCAGTCTGCTCTATCTTGAAGCACTCGCTCAATCTCAAAACAGACTTGGCTCGGAGACTTCGCCTTGTTAGAATAACGCATCTTTCCCTCCACACAAAGCTAATCGCCAAGGTCCACACTATTCTCCCAAACACTCCAACAACAGCCTTCCCCTGCCATTTACAAACACACCATTGAACAACTTCCTCCCAGTCCTGCAAATTCATCACTGAGACAGTTCTGCTTTAAAATGCAGCCAAGCACATGCTGGAAAAAAGGGCAAGGATAGAAAAGGTGAAATCAAGTTTCAACCCCTCCCCCCCCCCCCCCCCCCCCCCCCCCCCCCCCCCGGGGGGCAAAGTAAACAACAACCAGTAACAACTTGACCCCAAGGCTTCAACTTATCTTGCGTTTGAACTCGATCCCGAATAACCATCCATAAGATAAAGCTATGCCTTGGAATAATCTCCCTGCTCCAGACTAGTGGACACCAAGGTACAAGAGGACTTTTAACTCGAAGTGAATCCCAAACTAGTTTCACAGAGAATCATTATATGCTCACCCCATTCCATTTCAGATTAGGACCCTGACCTGAGATGAAGGGTTGAACCGCCTCTCGACACTTCAACACCTTTCGCCAAATCCAAGAGCCAGAGGTGTCGACCTTCAAATCCCATACTAATCGATTCTTCACTTTGTACCGATAAATCCATGCTACCCATAGCGACCCGCTTAAGGACAGGATACGCCAGTGATGATGAACTATGCAATCTATATTACATATTGTAAAGTCACGTAATCCGAGACCCCCTCTTTCTTTGGGAACAACCACTAATTTTCAAGCCATAATCGGTCTAGTTTTGTGACTAACTTACTATGTTCTCCTATATCCCACAAAAACTGATTGCAAATTCTCTCTACTTCCATAATGACATACTTTGGCAAGAGGAACAGTGACATCTAGTGTTGCAAAATACGAACAAGCACAAAAGAGATCAATTGTAATTTACCTGCCAAACTCAAGCTTCTAGATCACCAACTATGAACTCTCTTCGTTATTCTATCAACAAGAGTTTCGCAGTCCTTTCGTGAAAGTTTAGTGGATAGGAGCGGAACCCCCAGATACTTAACCAGAAGTTCCCCCAAAGGAAACTCTCCTTATTTTTCTCAATCTTTCTGCAAAAAACAAAAACAAAATCAATATCAATCCATTAGGCAATCACTACCACTTCGGAAAACACCAATACCATTATAACAAAAAAGAAATGAATACCAATCTATTAGGCAACCACTACCAATTCGTAAAACACTACCATTGCACAAAACACCAATATCATTCAAGAAATAATAACGCTATCATTTCACAAAACACCAATACCATTGCGACAAAAAACAATGCCAATGCGACAAAAACAATATCATTGCTATGATAATCAATATCAATACAAAAATTACCAATACAAAACAAAACAATACCAATCCAAAAATAGATACCAATCCAAAAAAAAAAAAAAATACATGCCAATCTCCACCCTCGTATCTCCGTACGCCACAAACCTATTAAAAAGAAATTGAACCTCCTCCTCCCTGTTGCCGCCGTAGCGGCCCAATAACAAATCAAAATCGAGACCTGCGGAAAAAGAACGGAAGGGAAGATAGATAGAGGTGGGGGGATGTTTTCACATCGAGAATTCTTTGTAGATGAAGTCAGGAGGTTCGGAGAGAGAGAGGGAGGGTGAGGGATGGCCGACACAAGCTGGTGGGCGGAAGGTTGGTCGGCGCAAGCAGGCTGGCGAGTTGTGATGGTGAAGGGAGACGGTGGGTTGCAGAGGGAGTGAGAGAGATGGGCGGGGGAGGGGAGGTGGTGGGTTGCGGTGGGGAGGGAGGGGAGAATATGGTGGGCAGGCTGGTGGGGAGTCGTCGGGGAGGGAGAGGGAGGAAGGAAGTTGGGGGCAGGCTGGCGGTGAGTTGCTGGAGAATGAGATGGATGAAGGGGTTGACGGCTAGATTATTAAGGTTAGAATAATTATTTAGCGTTTGGAATAATATATAGAAAGTCATTTAAAGGATAGTAATCTGGTATAATAATTATTATTATTTCAAAATTTTCCCTAATTAAATCCTAACGATTAGTTTAATAATATTGAAAATGAATGGTATAGATGTAGGTAGCCACGATGATTACTAAGAAAAATAATAACCATCCTAACTCATTTCATTGAGGCATCTCACACTTCCCCATAAGTTCATGAGTAACGATCTTATTTGTCACGCCCACTTCCTGTCTGTGTGTTCAACTGATACCAATCACCAGACCGACTAGAAAGAAGTCTGTATTAGGCCTTGATTAAATCCAATCAAATTCAAAAATATTTCCAGTTATAAAAAAACCGAATTTCAATATTTCACACATCTCATCCAAAAATAAACACGATTCAATTCATGAAATTTGAACCAAAGAATTTCATGTTGACTAGTTTCAATAATCTCCCACGCTCACACGCAAAGGAAATTACTCCGTTACCCTTCCTTTATATCCGAATAGCCCAAATGCATCTTTCTCCTTTTCCCTTCTTCCATCAAAGCTACTCTCGCTCTAGGCTGCCGTTTCTCTCTCTAACCCTCGACAACCTCCGCCGTTTCCTTCCAACAGCGGCGATTTGCGCAGTTCTCCCTTCAGAACACCAATTCGCTCTGTGTGGTATTCCCTCCGGCGAGCCTTTGGGTTTCGCGGGTGTTAATTCTTTGTTTTCGGGCCGAGTCGCGAATGAGATGACTCGGCGGTGCTCGCATTGCAGCAATAACGGGCACAACTCCAGGACCTGTCCCACGCGCTCGTCGGTTACCGGCGGCGGCGCTTCGTCTTCCTCTCTTTCGTCTCCCGGCGTGAGGCTGTTCGGCGTTAGGCTAACCGATGGCTCGATTATTAAGAAGAGCGCCAGTATGGGGAACTTGTCCGCGCACTACCATTCCTCGTCTTCAGCTGCCGCTTCACCTAACCCGGGCTCTCCCGTCTCCGATCATCTCCGCGACTCGGGTCGCGTGGCCGACGGGTACCTGTCGGATGACCCGGCCCACGGAAGCTCTTCAAACCAACGTGGAGAGAGAAAGAAAGGTACAAAACAAAAGAAACAAAATAAATATCCTCTGTTTTGTTCTACCGCCGCCATTGATAAGTAAAATTCTGTTGGTCTTATTCTAGGAATGGAAGTTTCAGGATATAGTGATGTCATTTTGGTGAAATTATATATCAATTCACTGCCTGGATGTTGTTATTGGGGAGGGTGATATATCAAGTCAATTTGCTAGAGCTGTTTCAGATGCTTTGTCCTGTCCATTAGTTGATTGGAAGCGATGTGACTCGTGTGAGGCATTGTTTCAGTAGTATTTTCTGGCTACTGGTTTTCTGGGAGTTGCGAAGGAATGTTGGGTTTTGTCAGTTACTTCCAAATGCGTTATGGTATGAGATAGTTGTAGGTTTGGAGAATGATGTTGGTTAAGTGATTGACGGTGCAAGCAATGGAATGTTTGCATACTGGAGGGGCATGATAGTTTTATTACAGTTCATTGTGTTAGGAAGAATGACCAATATATCATCATCCACATGCTCTGGTTAATCCTCTGCATAGAATAGAAGAATGCCGAAGGCTTCCTTTTCCTTATTGATTTCATCGTTGCCAAATTGGCTGTTTTTGCAGTGGTGTGCTTGATAGAGAGGGAAATGGTTGGTTTCGGTACCGGTGATGTGTTGCAATGACACGATGCACAACCATGTTCTTGTTTATGTGTTGCATTCTTTTGAGTTGTGCTTCGTATGTTTCTTACTAGCCCACTTTATATTTGTGCTGTAGGAATGGTGTCCGACTCTGAAGTCGTCAAACTGAGTTATCAAGTTTTGGTTTCCAATGAAGGAACATTTACAGTAGTTATTCTTTCCAATGATACCCTCTTCATCTTTAATTATCAAGTTTCTGTTTGCATGAAGACAGTTTTCAGTAGTTATTCTTTCGAATGGATGCTTGTGATTCCCTCTTCCATCTTGTTATTCACATATATGGTAGTTATTCTTTCGATGGGCTTGTTAATCTCTGAAGTAAATTTTGCTGTCCGCCCCATGCAATGCAGCTCACCTTGTATTTCTGATCTGGGTTTAGGTGTCCCCTGGACAGAAGAGGAGCATCGTCTATTCCTAATTGGTCTTCAAAAACAAGGAAAAGGAGATTGGCGTGGAATAGCTCGGAATTATGTCGTGTCTAGAACCCCTACCCAGGTGGCTAGTCATGCCCAGAAGTATTTCATTCGTCAGACCAACGCTACTCGAAGAAAGAGAAGATCAAGCCTTTTCGACATGGTGCCAGACTTGGTATGATCCATTCTCTCGATCCCTTCCATATGCATGATCCCAGATTTTTCCTCATGCCCGTGTTCTTAACTCGTAAATCAGGTATCTGATCCACAGTCAGTGCCCGAAGATGAAGAGTTACTACCCTCTTTGCAGGAAAGGGAGAGCAATTATAACAATAATGCAGACTCGCTTCCTTCGCTGAATCTCTCTCTGAAGTCGGAGTATGAACCGATGGAAACCATGTCCGAAGAACCTCCTCCTAAGGACGAGGAATCCAATGAGACTACTATAACTGTTCCAAGACCAACTCAATCAAGTGAGTTTCCACCAATAGCTCCTGTATCAAGTGAATTCACGCAATTTGGATTCATCCCGGCATTTGTTCCGGTCCCTTATCCATTCTGGACTCCTAATGTGATCCCTGTTGAGGAAGCCATGGTTGGGGAAACATCCAATCATCATCAGGTGCTGAGGCCAGTTGCAGCTGTTCCCAAGGAGCCAGTCAATGTGGATGAACTCGTTGGGATATCTCACTTGAGCCTCGTAGATTCCAAGGAGGCAAATCCTTTGCCGCTGTCTCTGAAATTGACGTCTGAGGCATCCAGGCAGTCGGCGTTTCATGCTAACAATGCCACTCCGGTCAGGGGTTCAGATATTGGCAAGGGAAAGGGAAGCCCCATTCAAGCAGTCTAGTAGTAAGGCTTCTTTCGGGCTGAAGGTTTCCTTTTTAGTTTTTTTTTTTTGCTTGTGTTGAAAAAGTTTTAGCTGTAGTTCAGCTGTAATTGTAATTTAGCTGTAGAGAAAAATTTATAGTTATGGAACTTATGGTGTGGAAAGGCCAGAAAGTTCCCCATTTCAATTTTGATCTCGTATTGCCCCCCTTTTCCTTTCTTAGTCATAGCTTTCACATGGCACTTGGTGGAATTATTTAAAGTTAGAGAATATGTATATTTTTTAACATAAATGAAAACATTTAAATCACACAGTTGTGCGTGTACCCATGTTGAATTAAGAGCGGGAATAAAATATATGGTGTATCGTTCAACTAGTAAAGTTGGACATATATAATTTGGGTGGACGGGTAGTACTAGTACCTATAATATTCAAAAAGGGTATTAACTGATAATTCGTGAATATCCATTGTAGAATTTCTTGAAGAAGGTAAATGTGAATCAAGTGAGTGATGGTCAGTTTGTAATAGTTAATGATGACACATTTGGAAGATGGATTTTTTGGTGCATTGTTGTTTGAAATTCATCAAATGGATTGTGTTAGGATGGTGGTGGCAGTCGATTATTAAATTATTAAATTTAAATATATTTTACGAGAAAATGACATTTCAAATAGAAGCACTTATCACCTATCCTGACAAAAGAGACCCATAAATTGTGTATTGTCCAAAATCAATTTACCTCTGGTCAGATCAGAGTAATTTTATTTTGGGCAGGTTCATACCCGAATTTTTAACTTGGGTCTAAATTAGACTCAATATATTAGGTACCCAAAATAAATTCTTGATTCTGATGCAGTTTTTGAAATTTTGTTTGTTCTGAACAAATAGAAATACGGAACATCAACATCAAAAGTTGTGAATTGGGTGGAAGACAGTTGGTGAGATAGTCGCTTTTTTTATGCTTACAATCATTTGAAGTCAGATAGTCCAATTTAGATATAATCCAAATGAGTTGATCTAAATTGGACCCAATACAAAATCATTAATAGTGCACATGGGTTGGATTCACGATTCAGTATCCGCATGAACCTTGTTAATTGAATCAAATTACCAAATGAATCGAACCATTGTTATACATTAATATTTTCTTACAATGATATATATTTAACTAACGGTACTAGCCGCTAGAATATTTTTCAAACAACAATTTTTGCATCAATTTAATAGTTAATTTATAAAGTATGCCAAAATATATTTGTTTAATACCCAATATGGTTCCAAATTTTCACAAATGTACATCTTTGGTCCCGACTGAATACAAAAATGACCCAACTTTCACAATAATGGACAAAATTTGGCTTGGCGTTTGAGTTGACTGACAACACTTATGGTCAATTCATTTAAGTAACGACGATTCATCATAATTTGTTGACCTGACTATCATGTCACTCAGAAAATTTTGATCCAAAACTTTATTCAAGAAAATGTCAAAAATAATTTTTAGAACAAAAAAGAATAAAATGTAAATAATTCAAAAATGAAATTTTGGGCACAATGTTTTTGGGAGATATGGTGGCGGGATCAATCAAATTATGCTAACTGCTAAGTCACTAAGGGTTAAATGAGTTAACTGTTACTGTTAACTGTCAACAAAACAAAAAAAAAAAAAAACAGGTCAAAGTTGTACATTATTATGAAAGTTGGGAACATTTTTGCAATATTGAAAGTGTTAGAGAGGGTATAAGATCCAGCAAAACCTTCTCCCAACAACTTGAGTTATTGGGAGCAACTGGTTCTTGACATGGTATCAGAGCGTAACTCGATCCTTGTGTGGGGTTTTGAGCGTCCGCAGTCATCCTACGTTGTCTCTCCTTGTTGCCTCTCCGGCAACGTCGACGTCAATCAGTCTGCAGTCAAGGTCATCAGTCCGACCTCGTCGCTGTCTCTTGGTTTTCCAGAAGCCTCATTCAGCAGGCGTCTATTCCGGCGCTCGGTCCCGTTCGCTATCTTAGTCAATTGACGTCAACGCCAATTGTCTCTCCGTGGCAGCATCGATGTCATCGCTTCAAGGTCAATTCTTCGCCCAGCCGCTGTCTGACGTCTCCTCCGTCTTTTCAATCGCCCGGCGATAAGCAAGAACAGAAAAGGCGGAAGTCTGTTGCTTCTGAAATTATTGCACACCGCCGCCGTCAGCGGCAATCTTTTATTTGGCGTCGTCGGTCTCTGAAGTCCTCTCGACGTTGGCAACACGATCCAAGCCCAAACAGACTCAGATCCGGCGTCGAGTAGGTCCGACGCAGCGAATATGGTGTCCGGTTCCGTCGTGAATCGTCAGCAAACGAAGTCTCATCACCGGTCAAAGAAATTCTCCCCCTAGTATCATGTTTCCGAAGACCTGCTCGCTATATCAGTTAGCTTGATAGAGCAAGACTTAGTCCTTTCAGTAGTCGAGTTGTATGATTCGGTCAGGTCATCATCTCCAAAGAATTTCGTTGAAATTCAGCCCAATTCAGTCATCGCTAATGTCAAGGCTACTCCCAGCTGCTGCTTAGCCAATTCAGTTTGGGGTACCGGAGTTGGCTTTTCCGTCCAAACGGAGTTTTGCGTCTGCATCGCCGCCTCGCCGGGAAGGAATCGGTCTATAGTCAGTATATGCCACCAATATCATCGTCCTCTTCGGAGACTTTTCCCAAATCTTGTCCAAAAGCCTTGTTACGTTGAAGTTTGTTGCTGCACTTTTGAGCCAAGTTGGAATATTTGGCTGCTTTGATTTCATGGTTAAGTTGTTTGGAATTGAAGCTTGCCAGCTTGACTACGGTGGACAAAATTGACAAAAGAAATGTCCTGTCAATTCATCTTCATCGAGATCTTCACCAACATCGATTCAAGTCATGGCACTGAAGACAGTCGCGACCTGCAATGGTCGTCCCTCCAATTGCTAGTGTTGGGGAGATGTAGCTTTCGCCAACAAATTTTTTCAAGCCATCAAGCGAGGCAGTCACGATCAAAAAGGGGATTGTCCCCTCGGCGTTTACAAGCAGGTAATATTCAGTCTTTACCATTTTCACTTTCAAGCTGGGTATTCACGTTGTTCATGTCCAGCTTGAGGGGGAGAATAGGAAGTCAAATCGTACAGGAGATGCAGTCAACCATCTCCACCATATCATACGGATAGACGTAGTCAATCGTCTCCGTCAGGTCATTCAAGAGACGCAGTCAACCGTCTCCGTCAGGTCGTTCAAGAGACGCAATCAACCGTCTCCGTCGCGACATTCAAGAAGATGCAGTCAACCATCTTCATCAGGTTGTTCAAGGGAGAGAGTCAGTCGTCTCCAAATCAACCTCGTCTGAGTTGTTATTCATCTCGAGTTATGTTGTTCAAGCTTGTCATGCTTGTTCGTCACATTTCCTTTTTCAAGCTCGACATTCTTGTCATTCATGTCTTCGCTTGAGGGGGAGTGTTGAGGATATTAATTACTTAGTCAAAAAGTAATTAATTCCTTGTCCTCAAAGTCCCTTGTTTCCTTGTCCTTGTCAAAGAAGGAAACTTGGTTGTCATTAGGGTTTTAACCCTACGTCGATCTATATAAGCTTAGCTACGAGATTGTCGTAAGCAAGCCGTCACAATGTAGTCTCATAATAAAATCGTCAGCTGTGAGCTCGTTCCGAGCTCACCGTGGATTAGTCTCGATCACTCAATCGATCGAGGATACCACGTAAAAATCGTTTGTCTCGTGTTCTTGTTATTCCGCAATATCAAAATTCTACATGGTATGGAGCATAATGTTTTCATTTATGCAAAGTTGAGGCTATATTGAGGTATTATACAACTAATCTACAATTTAAAAACATTCATCTCGAATAATATACTCTTCCAATTAATCTAGTGGACATAGCTCCTCTTGGTAAATTGCTTTGCAAAACTATGGCGAATTATGACATGCATATACAGCAGCGGATAAATTCTAACAAAAAGGGTTGTTGTAGGGATAAATCTACACTTGCATCTCATCATCAATTTTATGTATTTGTCTTAGCTACTATTTCAAACTTCAAATCAAACCGAAAATCTTTGTCCTAAAGGTCTGCGATACTTAGACTCAGACTCAGGGGCGGCTCCCAGGGGCTTTGGGGTGTCCCGGGACACACTTAAAATTTGAAAAAAATGATTATTCAATCTCGATGATAATTTACCTATGGACAAAAAAATTATAATTAATAGTGGGGGACACCTCTGAAATTTGAAAAAAATGGTTATCCTACTCTCATATTTCGTTTGCCTATGGAAATATAAGTGTAGTTTGGGTAATTCAAATCAAAGGTACTATTATTATGAATAAACATAATTTTCATTTGGCTACAACTCATTTGTAGTTAGATTTTAAAGTAATAGTCAAATGTCATTCCCCATATCTAATTACTTTCAAAATCTTACAATTAAACTAATTTCAAACCACCATTAATTTGTATTGATTTTATGGTTGTGCGACAAGTGTTGAAAGACAGGTTTAGAAATCGAATATGCGATCAGTTCGTTAGAAATCGAATATGCGATCAGTTCGTAAATGATTGTCTAGTAGGATAATTTAATTTTGATGATTGAGTGAAACTATATGAGTAGAATAAATGATGGAGTGTTTTGGTTGAGATATTTGTGGAAGGTGAAAAATCATTGACCAGAGTGTAGGTGGTTCAAGATAGGATGAGTAACCTTAGGGTGAGTAACAATGAGTAATCAAATCTGGACCCTTCTTTTAAGTGACTGCAGATCTAAAGGTGGAGAATTAAAAGAATTTATTTTCCCTAGTTTTCTTAATTGGATCATATCTTCTTTATTCCAACTCGGATTTCAATTTTTTTTGCACAGATGGAACGAGTTCATTGTGCTCAACAAAATTATATCCATTTTCAATATTTTTTGAGAAATTTTTTTTCATCCCTCTCGTTACCAACTCCATACCATATGGTATCTCCTTCTTTGTTTAGTCATTTTCGGAAATTTTGCACAAAAGGAACGATTTAATCATGATCTATTGGATTTCAAAATTTTTTATGGGAAAAAATTTCAAACCTCTCGTTACCAACTCCATACCATACTATACCACCCTGGTATGAGGTGTCATTTTTTATACCATATGGTATGCTGTTATTTAATACCATATGGCATTGACTGGTATTAAATAACAACATATGGTATTGACTGGTATTTTTCATACCATATAGTATGCTGTTATTTAATACAAGTCAATACCATATGGTATAGACTGATAATAACTGACAAATTTTTTTTGTTCAAAAAAATATCAAAGTGGATATCATTTTGAAGAGCACAATTAATCTGATCTAACTGTGCAAAAAATTAAATTCCGAGTTAAAACGAGTGAGAAATCGTCCGTTAAAGATTAAGGGAAAGAAAATTAATGACTTTTCCATGAGAGAGAAGGAGGCGCTGATATTGCAGATTCTTATTGAGTTATGCATGGAGTTACTCACCACAAGGTTACTCACCGGATCTGCCCTGAGTAGGTATCACAATCAAGAATTTTTGGAAATTTTCTATTGCAAGACTTGAAAATTTTAACTTTGGCGACACAAGAGGCGATGAATGTGGTTTGCCATGGTGTACATCCAGGTTTAATTATCACTGCTTGCCATTATGAAGAAGGATATCCCGAACAATGTTCATTGTAATTTTTTTTATAGGTTCATTCTAAACTGAGTCTATCAAAAATCAAACTACAACTAATCGAATAATAATTTTTTTTACAATTAATGACCACTCATCTTAAAAGAGAAATGCACACAGTAACATACTAACATTACATATGAATAGCAAAAAACACTAATAAATTTTGTACTATTTTAGATAAAAGACATTGTACATTGAACTTTTAATGCCTTTTCATTCAAAATTTTTAAATGTTCATCTCTATTTCCAATGAAAAAACATTGGAATAATATTTGTTACATTTGGAATAAAAAGTTAAAGATAAATGGTGAGAAATAACTAGTAAGAAGTGAACTTATAAACTAAAATGTGTCACATTCTTAGAATAATACCCAGGCAATTATGATTGTAAAGTTGAATAACTTTCTCATTATTAGTGGTATACAACACGTAAAATTGTTAAACTTTTACATTTATCCGACCGATGGGCCCTATCCTAATCTAGATGCAATATTTACAACGTATAGAGAAAAATATCAATGAAAGGAACCAATTTTATCTTAATGGCATACAATTTGACTACGTATGTGTAATTAATTTGTAAACATATCATTTGATTTCAGTCCTAACAAGTGCTATTTGTAGTATTTTATTTTCCTAAGTTAGACCTTAATGTTAAGTGATAAAAAAATACATTACATTCGTCACGTCATAGTTGTATCTTGCTTCAATAAATGACCATTTATTCATTTCATACATAATTCAATCAATAATAACAAGTGCTATTCATTTTGAAAACCTATCATTTGGTTTCATTTCTAACAAGTGCTATTTATTGTATTTTCTTATTCATGAGTTAGACTTTAATATTAATCGATAAAAATAATATACATTTCATTCGTCACGTCATAGGTGTATCTTAGGTCGATATATATGATCATTTATTCATCCGTGGGGATGTTCCTGAGTTATATAAAAAGAAATTCATTACATACGTAATTTAACCAAATAATAATTAGCAGCCGGACCCTAATCTAGTTAAGTTAGGAAAGGAAATCCCTCGTATCTCTTCCTTTTTCCCTTTTCCTCCCAGTTCCGGGAAATATCTGCAATTAGAAAACTTAAAAAACTAACGAAGTAAACCCCAAATCCATGGTGCTCTGGCAATCCCGTATCCTCTCTCAGGAGTCTTGATCCCTAGAATTCACTCTCTACACACACAGCGAGCCCGCCAAATTTAGCTGTTCCTTCCTCTCCAGCCTATTTCAGCTGGTTTGCTCGGTGGCGGCTCTACATTGAAGCTTCAGCGCTTGCCTCTCTGCTAACGGGCCTTTGCGCGTTCGTGGAAACTAACTTCCGGCGGAGGTACATCAACTAAGACTTAACTGAATCTACGGTTAGTTGCTGAACTTGCGAAGCTACTAATTCGGTGGAAGAATTGCTTACTTTCTAGGTTTTCCGATTGCGAATTCATTCAGGTTATGTAGCGGAAGCTTTGATTAGTGGTGAATCTTTGGTATTTATGAATGCCACGCAGTTTTGAATACACTATTCTTTCAGCTTGGAAAGAATTCGCTGGCTTTCTATTTTTTTTTTGTGCCAGCGTCCCCTCAGCGGGACAGTGTTAGGAAGAGCAGCAGTATTATCGAAGAATTAGTGTGAATTAGAGGATTGGAAATCGGGGAAGTGAATTTGAATCAGTTTTTCCATTGGGGTTTCTCTTTAAGGAAGTAAGAAGAAGGATAAAGAAGCGAAGGTTGGAACTTTGCAGGGTAGGGTGTTGTTTTCACTTTTAGCAATGGCCTCTTACAGGCCATTCCCCCAGTCTGCTTTTCCTCAACCACCACCTCCTCCACCTCCGAATCAAGCGCCACCACCTCTGCCACCGCCACCCCCGCAGCAAACACCACACAGGCCAAACCAGTACAGTCAAAACTATGCCCCTCACATGCCTCCTCCTCCTACATTCCCCCAGAACTATTCACAACAGCAGAATTTTCCATATCCTCATCCGAGAGCTCAGCCGCCACCTTCCCACCAGCAATACCCGTATCAGCCTCCACCTCCAATGCCAGCAGCACCGCCACCTCCGCTTCCTGACTCTTCATATCCTCCTCCACCTCCACCGCCTGTGCCGAGTCAACCACAACAGCAACAGCCATCATCTATGTATTACCAACCTTCTAAATTTTCGCAGTATAATCAACCGCCGATGCAGCCCATCCCTCCTCCTCCCCCTTCTTCTTCTCCGAGTTCCTCAATGCCGCCGCCACCACCACCACCCAGCTCACCTCCTCCTCCGCCTCCTCCAAAGGAAAGTGGGATGGAAAGAGAGAAAGGGGGCTCTAGGGACAGGAGAGAGCACAGGAACTTGGACCATGGGAAATCAAATCAGCAGAAACTTCCAATTCCTCCGCTCTCCAAGAAGACCAATGGGGCAGTAGGAAGGGTAGAGACAGAGGAGGAGAGAAGATTGAGGAAGAAAAGAGAATTCGAGAAGCAAAGGCACGAGGAGAAACATAGGCAGCATTTAAAAGAGTCACAGAACTCGAATTTGCACAAGAGTCAGATTGCATCTTCGCAGAAGGGACATGGTTCTATTATAGGGCAACGGGTTGGGGATAGGAGAGCCACTCCGTTGTTGGCTGCAGAGAGAAATGAGAACAGGTTGAAAAAGCCAACGACATTCTTGTGCAAGCTGAAGTGAGTATGCTAACTTTGCTAGTCAACTTTAATTGTTTGCTTAAAGCTCAAAGTTTTCCAGTTAGAATGCTGACGGCAATCCATAGAAATATATCGGCATGTTTGTGAGTAAATTTTTTAGTACTTGGTGCTTTGCCGTCGATGCAATTTGTGTATACAATCTTGAGGTTTCTCGATAAATTTATCCGTTGATGGTAGTTAGTCAGCTCAAAAACCAATTTCACCACATGTTCTGAAACGCTTTGTGTCTCTGAATCTAGGATTAGTTTTATTTAATCTAATTTGAAGTCGACTCTCAGATAGGCCCATGTCGTGAATTAGCATGTCAGTAAACATAGTAAAGTCTTGCTTCTTTCATGTGGCCTTATATTGCTATTGATGAATGAAGAAGTAAAAATAAAAAATTGCCCCATCAATCTCTGCCTTAAGTGTACACATTTCATTTTCAACTTGATATGTCGAAACCTGAAGAAAATGACAAGACATATCGTAGTTGAGTTTACCTAGTAAACTGTGTCAAATATCATGCGTCTGTATGGGAGTCGATATGAGTTTCTCTTTGAAAAGCCACTACTATTTTTAGGAGGAAAAGAGGGGGGGGGGGGGGGGGGGGGGGGGGGGGGAGGGGGGAGAGCTTTTCCTTTGGGTTTCTTTCATTGTTGTATTAACCCACACTTTGTACATCACTCCTCCCTATCTTATCCTAATATACACATGCACCATTAACAAAAGAAGAGAAAAAAAGAGCCACTATTTCTTTGTTACAGTAATCATTTTGGCAGTAACTACAATGCTTTAAGGTGCTGTTACGGTAAAGTATTTTTGTTCTAGGATATAGCATGCTGTCTCCACTTTCCCCTACCATTTGTAGCTACGTCCAAAGTTAGTTGTATTTAAATTTAAGAGGAAGATTATGTGGATTAGTTCCAATTGCTTTGTTTATATGATGTTCGCATACCTACTAATACATTTATCCATTTGCTTGTCGAAGATTTCGTAATGAACTTCCAGATCCAAGTGCGCAACCAAAATTTATGAGAATGAAGAAAGATGATGATCGGTATGTGTCTATACGACCTTTCTCTTCATCCTATATTATTGTTAGACAACTGATTGAAATCAGTCTAAACTTTATTGATGATGTACTAATTCGCATATACTAGCACATTTGATTCTGATTATCTCAGTTATCTGGGAGTTTTGTTAAAGTTTAATTGATTGAGCATGAAGTATGTGAAGATCTCTTAATTTCAGATCATAGAAACTTATGCTCCTGATCTATATAGCCAACAATAAGCATCAACCTTAATTTTTCATGTAAGTATGAACTACATGCCAACATGTATTGTGAAATCATTCTTGGTAGGCAAATTTTCTGAAAGAGGCTTGTAAATAGGGACAATAATTTTTAACTGCACTTTCTTCTTGCTTGCTGCATCTCAATAAAGTTCTTGTATATGTGGTCCCAGAAGTGTGTTGAAACCTTTATAGGTTTATCAACTTCTGGATGTACTATGCTTAAGAAACTAATTCCAGAATAAGGCAATGGTTAGAGAATCTAATAAATTCTTGCTATAGTTATTTGTGATGATAGAACTTTAAGTAGTCAGCAGCTATTTCTGTTCTAGTATACATAATCTAGCTACAATTGGTTGCAGGTTTACTAAGTACATGATAACATCTTTGGAGAAGATGTATAAGCCAAAACTATATGTCGAGCCAGATCTTGGGATTCCTCTTGACCTCCTTGATCTCAGTGTTTATAAGTATTCTCTCCAAGACTTCGCATTTTTCCCTTGAACATGAGTAATCTATGCATATGCCAGATCTGATATTCTGTTGTACTTGTTATATTAGTCCCCCTAGTGTGCGACCACCTCTGGACTTGGAAGATGAGGAATTGTTGCAGGATGATGAAGCACATACCCCTGTGAAAAAAGATGGGATAAGAAGAAAAGAAAGGCCGACTGATAAAGGTGTTTCATGGCTAGTCAAAACACAGTATATATCTGGTTATAGTATGGACTTGAACAAGCAGGTACTGCCTTGTGTCTATGTCACAACTCCAGCGATTACATCGAAGCTGTATCATAACCTGTTTCTTATATCCTGCAGTCTAATACTGATAAACAAGCAAAGGACCGAGAAAAGAAAGGAGCCCACCTCTTGGACAACATTAATGATAGGTTTGTTTTGTGTATCCTTCCCGATTCGTGTGAATCATTAACTGCAGAAATATTAAGTGCTGGGTTGACTATAAGGGCTTGATAATGACTTCAATTTTTGTTATAATATTGAACTCCGCTTTCAGGGAGAGACAGATCAAGGACATTGAAGCATCGTTTGAGGCAAGCAAGTTACCTCCTGTCCATGCAACCAATAAAAACTTGCACCCTGTGGAGGTTTTGCCATTGGTACCTGATTTTGATCGGTAAGATTCTATCTGATGCTTTATGATTTCTTGAATCATTAAGGTGCAATCTTTCTTTCGTTTCGGATCATTATTTTAGTGTATTAGATGTTTTGTAATTGTTTCTGGTGAGTTTTGGGAAATCAGGAAATTTGCAAGACGAATAAGTATGGAAACGGTGGAGATAAGTAATTGTTTTATCAGTGCGTGGTTAACTGACTTCGTTTGTGTTCTCTGTTTTTGCACTGGATTCAGGCATTTTAAGATTTCATTAAACCTTTGTTCCTGTGATGTTGAACCAGGTATGAAGGTAAATATACCATGGTTACGTTTGACGGTGCTCCTACAGCAGACTCTGAACAATATGGCAAGTTGGACCAGTCTCTCCGCGATGACTGTGAATCACGGGTAAGTTATAGGAGACCGTGATTGCATTCAACAGCAGAATGATATAACATCTGTCTCAGATCAGGTGTGATAGTAATTTGGTTTTTTGTTTGAGTACAGGCTGTTATGAAGGCCTGTGTGATCTCAGGCCCTGATCCGGCAAACCCAGAGAAGTTCTTGGGGTACATGGTTCCTAATCCTAGTGAGGTAGTATATTTCAATCTGTATGATGAAGCTTCAGTACAGTTTGTTTCCAACTAGTACTTCCTTATATTTTGGTCCATGACTGGTGTGCAAATGATTTCGCTACTGTTGGACATCTAAATGGATTCTTAACCAGTTGTCAAAGGATATGTTTGATGAAGACGAGGATATTTCATATTCCTGGATTCGAGAGTACAATTGGGATGTAAGTATAGCTCAAATTTGTGAAAGCCTAGCAAGTAGATCCCGAGTTTTGTTTGTAAAGAAATTCCATTTCTCGTGGATTCAACAGGTGCGTGGTGATGACGGCGAACCAACAACGTTTGTTGTTTCATTTGACGAATCTGAAGCTCGATATCTGGTAGATCTCTTTTCTCAATATCTCTGTATATAAGAGCACCATTTATGCATGTGATTGGAGCTTTCGATACATCTGTATCATGGTGGCAGCCTCTTCCGTCGAAGATCACATTGAAAAGGAAAAGGGCCATAGAGGGAAGATCCAACGACGAGGTTGAACATTTCCCTGCCCCTGGAAGAGTGACTGCCAGGTGGCGCCGCGAAGCAGCTTCGATCGAGCTTAGGGAACCAGGGGTATCAAAAGAAAAAGACCTGTTTACTTTTGACAATCGTTAATCCCGGGTAAGTAATATTTCTACATGTCATTTGACATCTGTACATGCCTTTTCAGGGTAGTAGCATAAAATCAAGAGTTAACAGCTCCAAGTCGAGGTTGATGTCAAGGTCAGAAGATGAAGAAGTAGAAGAAGACGAAGATGATGACCTCGAAGAAAGAGTACATCATAGGATGTCCCCGAACCAATATAGTGCTGAGGAAGATGAATTTTCTGACGAATAAACATGGCGTGTTCTGGTTAATACATAATTTTCGATACCAGAAAAGAATGGGTAGAGAAGAAGGATCGTCGGGAGCTGTAAAATAGGAAGTAAGGATGCGCTGGTAAAACCTGGCCTCATTGATTACAAATTTTGCATGTTTACGTATGTAATGGTTACCGATTGTTTTTACCTATCAAGCTTTTGTATCAGTGGAAAAAAAAAATTCATTACTGTGGGCAAATTTTCATAGGAGGTTAACAATTAATGTATCAGACAGATTTGGCACTTACGATCCCCCAGATTAGATGACTCAGATTTTGTATGGCTCCATCTGTTCTAGAATCAACGGAGTTTCGCACAAGACCGAACCAAGAATAAATAACAAATTAATTTGTTGATAGACTAATTGATTGAAATATTATTTGAAGGTGACTACTTCAGTGTACTCACATTGAAGTACTCACAAAAATGAGTGCGTTCAATGCACCCTACTCAAAAACTAGTCTTAAAGGTGTCGGATATTGAATTTTAATATGTAGAATTAGTGTAATATGATGGTATAACATATGATAACAACTAATTAGCGGATTATCTTAAGTCTTAGACCTCCAATTTTGAGTTCTATCCTTAAACCTCAAATTGTAAACCCTAACCTTAAATCTCTAAACTCTAAATCCTTCAAATTAAAGTAAATCTTCAATGGTTTTTGTGCAAATTAATGTGCGTTATTGTCCATCACATCATAAGTGATGATTGACATCATTTTGACATAAATCGCATGTTTAAAATGACGGTTATGAAGCGAGTGCACTGAATGCACCAAAAAATGTGAGTGCACCGAAGACGCCACTTTGAAAGTATTCTATTTTACTATGACATATATTGTGTCTAAAGTCTGGGTCTGTGTCTCTATTTATACTAGTTATAGAATGGTGTTTTCTAGTCATTTCCTCCTAAAGTCGTCTAAACGTTCCTTGTATAAACCAAACTCGGATTCCTTTGAATTGGGATGAAGTAACCTTTTCTAGAAGCTTATGGAGAGTTAGGACTTGAGCGGTGGCCCTATGACGATTGCTACCGACGCCTCTTTTCCAATCGGACTTGCTTGCTTAACTCACAAGCAACCTCTCCTCTCTCCTCTGAATTTGAGCGCGTTTCGACTTGTGTAGCTCCAATTGGACCTCGATCAAAGTGAGCATCCGATGTCCAAATAGTGAGCCCATGAGCTTGTATTCTCCTCCCCCATCTGATCCTATGGCGATCCATATTCATCTTGAGTGATATATAACCTTGAAAGCATAGAACAACACCATGTAAAGGCATCAAATAATACAGAAACACACTCAAGGTCTATTTTAGCTCATTATCCAAATAGTTATGATTCCATATGAAATGTAGTCAAAACTACTAAAGATGCATTGATAGAACGAGGTATTATATCAAATATGGGAGTGCTAAACACTATAAGTTGAGTGTCATCACGACCAAAGCGCCATTTTAGGATATAGGTACTTTGTCTAGCGTTGTTTTATGAGTTTGCTCCAATCTTGATGATGACTCCTAACAGTCAGGTCTTGATTCTTACCAACACGTACCTAGTGGTCCACTAGGATGTTATGCCCTGAAAACACGTGAAACAATAACAAAAGTGCATCAAAATAGTAAAAGCCACCCTACAACTACTAAAACACACAGTGAGTGAATATTAAGCAAATCCAATCTATTATGGAAATAAATATATGAAAATCATGCAATTATGTCCACATGGCGGTCTAAAATAGTACTTCCTGCGTGTACATCTCACGAGACCTTTATAATGACACGTGACTTTCGATCGTAGTTAGTGGATCATAAGCAGCTTACAAGGTCAACCTTCGCACTTAGAGAATCAGACCACAACAATGAGGTGTATATCTCGTAAGGACAATCAGGCCTATCCCCATCGATCATAAGCTCTTAACTCAACATGTGAGTCTCAAAGATAGTTGGGGTAAAGCTTTTGCGCACTTTATTTTGGCGTTTGAGCACATCTCTACCTTTATTTGACAATGAGCGTTTTATGTTCTCTCCTTTATACGTAGCATACTGGTTTGTTGTACTTTTTGTAGCACAAGTGGATTTTTTCCCCGCTTTGTACATTGGTACATCGCAACCCTGACCAAGCAAGAGCAATTTCTACACCTTAGCACTCGCATATGGGGCTTTATTTAAATTCTTTTCCTCGATCTGTTTGGAAAGGCAATGCAATAGAGGTGTGTCAGAAGCTTTATTCATACCCAAGAACAATTCTCAAATGACACTTCACTCGACGAGGGATTGTACTAGATAAGCAACATCATACGATCCTGAACCGATGCTCAACTGAATCGTTTCTATTCCCTCACTGAATGAGTGATTGCCTCACACGTGGCTTTTAAATCACACTTTATTTGTAAATGCAACGTATTTTAAATCACTTTGTCAGGTAGAGTTTTCAAATGTATAAAGATATAGTTCGACACCATTAACCTCTTAAGAGAAGAAGACTCATTTGGAAGAGAACAAGAACTCACAAATGATAGTAATGAACACTGTATCCGAATATTTCAAATGGTCTTTAGTCTCATGATGAGGAGATTCTTCATAGCCCCTACACTAGCCTCCCTAGATCACGTATTAATGCAGAGACTAGCAATTCAAAGTAAGACGAGCTTTGGAATTTCTTTTGGGAATGTGGCATTATTTAGAAATTTTAAACTTTTTAATCAAGGATGATACATGAAATGCAGTCTAAACCCACCCCACACTTTAAATAGGAAAATGTTCTCATTGGCCCAAGCAACGGAGCGTAGAATAAAATTAGCTCGATCATTGAAATGATTCTTGCACAATCGGCCAGGTCCTCTTGATTTTTGTCACTTAACGGAAAAGGAAATCAAAATGAACACAAAGAGATAAAGTGTGCTATCTCCTCAACCTACGACAATCACCTTTGAAAGGCTTGTCTAATGAATCTCTTAACAGCTTTGAAATCGAGTCATATGAGTTGTCAACGGAAGAGGCTACGACTCATTAGCACATAATCTCATAACTTAAATGATGAAGTGTGAAGCAACTAGTGCTGTGTGACATGCATAGATCAAGGCCATAGTCGCATTGAATGTTCGTGTTGTCATAAGCGACAAGCACGAGCTTGACCATCGTTGACTTCCATGGTACTGTCATGTAAGAATGAGCAATATTGAACGATTTTCATATGTCCATATGTATGACGTGTGAGAGTGGTGACACCCTTATGATAGTTCTCTTCATATGGTGTGTCAAACCACACATCATTTATCATCGTGACTCGTGAGGAGTTCTCCAAAAGAGAAGATCATTAAATAAAGTCAAATACGACTACCCCCACATGTCAATTCTAACCATGCAAAAAATATGAATAATAACAATCATGGAAGGAATACCATCAAATAGCTAGGCACAAATGCAATGGGATATGCTCAAGTGGAGGTCCATGATCCTCAATCCTCGAACTCAAACACATGCATACTTAAAACATTAAGAGTAGAGACACATCGACCCAAGAATGTGACTCTACTCATCCAAACATCCACAGAACTTCATCATCGATACATATGATATTATAGAGAAGCTAGAAACATAGAACATGGTAAGCATATGAGCAAATCTATAAGTACCATGCATGAGATGAACAAATGAATCACAGGGGTCCAAAGGCAAGTAAATAGCATGAGCCCCTTTTGTCTCCTATTTAATAGTCAATATACTAAAGATATAAGGATAAGGAGATGTGGTGGAGGGTGATTAATGTTTGGTGGTATGAGTGATAGTAATATGTTGGCGATGGATGGTGTATGGTAAAAGATTATGCAAGTGGAGATTTGAGGAGTATTGGAAGGAATAAGATGAACAAGGTCATGGAATTGTGGTCAAGGTTGAGTGGAAAGAAAGATATGTGAAAAATTGGAGGCTAAGAATCAGAACCCGAAGTTGAGGGTGAGATTAACAAAATGGCACTCTCTTTGCCGATTTTGCCGCCGTTTTAGGTGGGTGGGGTGGTTCTAATTTGGGTTGTTACTTCTGTCCCCACAGTACCATGCAAACTTCATTTAAAAGCATAAGAAATTAATATGCAACATTGGCTTAGTAATACACTTAAGAAGCAGAGACGAGAAGTGATACCAACCATATGTCATTCCATGAAACTTGGATGGCGAGGTGCATCCCATAATCTAGGGCTGTATTGATTATACACCCAATCTCGATGCTACACTTATGAAAGAAAATAAAAAAATATGGGCTATCTTCCGGTAGTACTTTTGTATTTTGTCTTTTAAGTTAGAAAAACCATGGGTTGCCTCCCATGTTGCACCCTCTCTTTTATGCCTTTGAATTAGGAGCTGCTAATAGCGTTTTAGTCATATGACCAATGAGGGTCCGTTGGCCATTCTCCTCCCCAATTGTATGACAGAGGTAACTCGAGGAAAGGATTAGGATGTGTAACGTAAGCCACGATATGCAGCTCGTATACTCATACATTGAGTCTGCACACCATTTCCTTGAATTATCTTTTGTTGTGAGGCTATAGTGAGTTCCCTTCATGGAATTCCGAAGATGTGAATTCCAAATCCTTTTCTATGTTTATTATAAGAGTCGGTTGACATCTTCCCAATAGTTAGGCATAGGAGTTTGCAAGGAGTCATAATCTGATCCTACCATAAGAGGACTCAATTGGTTGAAGAATGTGCCTTTCGTAGAGCCCATGGTGGATATGTCTACGATATGCTCCGCATTATCGATTCTCTTCATGATTCGCTGTTTTGGAATTTCAACTAAACGACCAGATATGACTAAGAAAGGCCTCCCAAATAGGATATATTAATCTTCATCCTTACCTGTCTCGAGTACTAAAATGTTGAGAGAGAACACGAAGGGTCCTATCTCGACCTGCACATCCTTGACAATGCCTAGAGGGTGAAAACTTGCGTTGTCGGTCAATTTTATTTCCATAATCGCCTCTAGTTGGTTGATACCGAGCGTTTTTATAAACTTAAAGGGGTATCACGTTAAGCCTAGAACCTATGTCTATGAGAGCAGTTGTTATATGAAGATCATTTAGGAGGCATGGTGAAATGCCTTGGATATGTAAACTTTTTTAATACCAAAAATATATATGGGTACGTATGTTCGACATAGTGAGTTTTTGAGAGTGCTCGTACTCGTGTCGGAGAAGTTGCCTTATAGCTTTCATTGGATCAGCCATCCCTACGATAGATTTCAATATTAGTATATGTCAGCTTCTTTTCCTCCCAAAATAGTGAGAATCTCATTGAGCGTGATATAAAGTGTAGACCCAGAGTCTTCTCGAGAAGATGGAAAATCGATGCCCCTGTCGCCGAAT